GAATCAAATACAAATCAGTTTGAGGTAAAAGATATATGGAAAACAAAATAAGAGGGAAGCCAGTTACTGTAAAAGAAGAAAAATATGAAGGGAAAAAAAGGTTAAAAGAGATTAGGACCATGGTCCTGTGGTGTGTGCTACTGATGTCAACAGATAGAAGCAGTATGTATCGTCAATCGAAAGTGAAATACCTGACAGCAGATGGTTAAGAAGAGCGAAGAAATGGGAACGAGAACAGTAAGTGGTTGCAGTGGAAATGAAAGAAGAGTGAAGTCTGAGACGATTGACTGATATTTGCAAAAGGAACAGTTAAGTTTGAGACAATTGATCGACAGTTTACAAATTAAGTATTTACTGTATGGTCCTCAGACTTTATTAAGAGATTCTGTAATTTTGTGTTCAAATACATTCGATTGCCCCCCATTTGTGTTCTCGTTCACTACAGTACCAGTTTCTTTGGACGCATAGTTCTGTTTTCAGAAGTATATCTAGTCCATTGGCAATGCCAAGAAGTTGGAATATAACTGAATTAGCAGCTTCTTACTAACCTTGTGGATGATTTTAAAAGCAGAATCCGCCTTGGTTGAATGATCTGTGTCCACGAGTTGTTCGATTATGAAACTTCCTATTAAGCCTTTTACATCTCTTTTCAGCCAAGATAGGTCGTGTTTTCGAATTCTCCTGGATAAAATACGCATCGAACGGCCTATATACCTGGCTCAACACGAACGATAAATTGATAAACACACATAGAATAAGATCATTTATCCTTACGATTATTGGTGAGCATTGATCAGCTGGAGTACACTATTCACAAAGTTGTTGCGAGGAACGTTATATTGAGAGTTGGAAATTCCCCTCTTCAGGAAGTCTGTAGCTAAACCACATTCAAAATAGATGTTCATATAGCGTATTTCCTGTGGAGGTTACTTGTGCTTTAGGTGGTCTGAGTTTTATATTCTTGTCAATAAATATAAAAGGATACCCGTTTTCGATATTTTTAGAAAAAAAGCTCAGTTTATTACCTATGACCTCGGGACTACAAATTCTTTGTATTCGTGTAGCGAGGAACATAATTAAGCTTTGCCTCCGGCTATTGGGGACCCAGAGGTGAAGACGTGATAGCTGGCCATTTTAGAAGGGTTTTCCTTTAGATGCACCATCTTAGAGTTCCGTCATGTTTTCTTGACATTTCAAAATATAGAAAGTGGACAACGTTTGTTTCCGATGTGTGAAATCTATTGCCTAGGAGCAGTTTTTAAATGTGTTTAGACGATTCATATCATATTTATCGTCAAAAATGATAAAAACATCACCCACGTACCTTGTACACAAGGGAACGTTGTCATTTTAAGTTGATTGTTTTCTTAATTGGCCATGAAATAATCTGTTAGTAATGGAACAAGAGATCTCATTTTTATGCGTAGTTGAGTGTAAACTGTACATTACAAATGCATCCAATAGTAATTCCTTTAAATAAGACTCCGGAAGTTCGACTTAATCTCATTATCTTTTGTGTATTTGCAGATAAACCTGATGGTCTCTAGGAGCGGAACATTAGTGAACAGTGATAAAATATATAGAGAACAGACAAGTTTGTCAGTTACGTTCACTTTTTTATGTAAGCAGTGAAGTCAATAGTATCATGTAGGGAATGTATACAAATATTACACCACAAATTCCTCATTGTTAGCACTGTTTAGCAAATTTTAATTGTCACTATTATTTCAAATATTATCATTTTGAGAAAATAAGTATATACTTACGATTGTAAAGCTTTGAAAATGAGTTCACAGTAAAGCGAACTCTTCGCTGAACCAATCCTTCTTATTTTAAACACAATCATTTTCAATAACCTGCCCTGGAAATTTCCAATTGGAATACCATAGTGAAAATATCATTACGATGGTTAAACGATAACATGGGGATGTAATATGAAACCACTGAATGTATATGATAAACTGTATAGCTACCTCAACATTTCAGACTCCGATTGTAAAATCCGGTTTATGTTATCCATTTTTATCTGTTTGACTAACATGCATGTATCACCATACTTTTAGTATAAAAATGGAAAACTGAGGTGAATCTAATTTCCGAAAGCGTTGAGTCAAGACTCTTCGAGTTTAATGACAGCTGAATATCGTTTAGTGACGTTTCAAACTTATGAAATTCCGTGGCTATGCATTTCCCTTTAGCTATTACATCTCATATAATATACTGAAACACTAAATTTCTAGGATCGTCTCTAATTTCCTGGAAAGTCGAACCGTTATGGCAACAGAAGGCGCCAAATTAACTCAGATGTTAAAAACATAAACACTGGCTAGTGCTCCATTGGAGCAAATGCCAGTTTAAAACACGTGTAGTGCAAATTTGAATGTAAATTTGGCAACCTTACCTCGCAAACAACAACCCAGCTACAAAATCGCTGATCAGAGCAAACAAAATTTCTCTGGCAGTTGAACGATCGTCACATGGGGGAGTTGTGACGCCTCATGGTAATAGTCAAGTCTTTGAAAGCCACGAGACCACTTCCCCTTCGACTACAAGTTATAGAAAGCTCTCACAAACAAGTTCCAAGCCTTACAAGATTTATTACAATAAGAGGAAATCACTATGAAAAACAATTGGGAAGAGAATAAAAGAGCGATAACTTGAACATGCCAGGTGATAGGTCCCACGAAGCACCATCTCAAAGAGTGGTTCTATATCGATACCCGGGCAAAGATTCAAGATAGGAAACACAAGAAGATAGTAGTCGAAAACAACCGAACAAAACTAAAGAAAGCCAAGACAAAAGTCGAATATACAGAAGCAAACAAACGAGCGAAGAAGATCATCAGGGTCGACAATCAAAAATATGTGGAAGACCTGGCAACTACAGCATAACAAACCTCACAGGAAGAAAGTATGAAAAAACTATAGGACACAGACAAGACGCTTGCAGACAAATATTGTAAACCACAGTAGACGGTCGGGAAGAGACGGGGTAAATCAATCACCGAGGTTCAAGAGCAGACGGACAGGTGGTTGGAATAATTTGAAGAGCTCTTCAATATACCAGAGACTATGAATCCACCAAACATCAAAGCAACATACAGACCTCCTTGTGTATCTGAACGCACCAGCAAAGGAATAGCACACCAGGACCATTAGGTAAATCAGGGATGGTAAATCTGCAGGACTAGACAGCATACCAGTCACAGCACTAAATTCAGGCATAGAAGTACCTGTAAGGGTGTTTCAAGTTGTCTGCAAAAAGATTTGGGAGGAAGAACGAGTACACACAGATTGGAAACAAGGACTTCTCAAAAAGATGTCGAGGAAAAGGGATCATAGTCGGTACGAGAACTACAGATGGATTGCCTCTGTTAACACCGTAGAAAGGCTCCAACAGTGTTGCTCAACCAAATGAAAGACTCAGTAGACGCCCGATTTCGAAATAAGACACTAGTTTCGTAGTGATCGATCATGTGAAGGCCAAAGTGCAACGCTACCGATCACTGTTGAACCATTAACTGAAACTCACCTCTATCCATTGACTTCCCTGATTATGAGAAAGCATTTGACAGTGTGCATAAAAAAGCCTTGTGGTATCTCCTCAACACTATGAAGTATGTGAGAAGACTGTCATGACCATGCAGAATTTCTACGAAGGACTGAGTTGCAAAGCAGTGCATGGAGAGCAGGTCTAAGATACATCTCACGTGAAGACTAGTGTGACATAAGGCTGTTCGCTCTCGTATTTTCTCCTTATGGCAGCTGTTGACTGGGTTATGAACACTCCGATATCTCAAGAAATACAATGGACACACTTTGCAGATGAATTAACCCTGTTATCGCAGACACAACAAGTTCAGGTCAAGACAGGCAGTGCAGCAGCAGCTTTCGTAGGAATAAACCTTAACAGTCACAAGCGGAAAATCAAGATCCTGAAGTGCAATACATTGAGTGCCAATGAAATTACAATTAAATGTGCAGCTCTCGAAGAGGTAAAATGCTTTTTATACCTGGATAGAAACATCGATAAAAAAGGTGGATCTGAGACGTTAAGGCACGAATTGGCAAAGCAGAGACAGCACTCCTGAAAAAAATATTATCTGCGACTCGAAAAATTTGTCACACGATACAGGTTAGAATTTTTAACACAAATGTTGAAACAATTCTGTCGTATGGAGCTGAGACTCAGAGGGCCACCATAACCATCATCAAAAATGTACAGGTATTTATGGACATCTATATACACAACAAAATTCAGATCTACTATCCAGAGACCAACAGCCATGACGTACTGTGGTAGTGAACAGAGAATTTATCATTTGAGATCGAAATTAGGAAAAACTTTGTGGGTAGATATGTTGAACTTATCGGAAACCCTCAAACTGGATCACAAAGCAAGACCTAACTTGGGATGCTCATGAGCAAAGGAAAAAGAGACAAACTGAAGAACAGGTGACGCAGGGAATCGAAAGGAGACGTCAGGACCATGAATACCACTTATTGGAAACTGGAAAGCAGAGCCCGTGACAAATTTGACTACAGATTTCTCGTCGGTGGGGGGATTCAGGCTTAAATAAGTAATAAAAAACATAATTTAACCATCACTCTGTGTACAGCATGTATGTAGATGTTGTTAAAAAAGTAATATGCACCGGATCCCAAATCAAAGACCTAGCGTAACTACATTTTACCACATAGTATTATTGTAAGAGGAAGTTATGTAAGTTTATACTTTGCATAGATTCGCTAAATTTCTGGATTACATAGACTGCAATAATTTAATAAGAATAACAAAAAACATGAAATCATTATTATAGTATAAGATTTTATTTCAGACGATATAAATTACAAAATTATTCATACGTATACAGGCTGTATCAAGGGATTAAATATTTGTGATTCTTCGTACCTTAGAAAATACTAAAAGCCTGACTAATAAATTAGATAATATATGCTGACCAGCTTTTTCAAACTTCAGAACACATAAAGCTATCTCGCTACTTAGTGACAAATGGTGAACCCCAAGTTTTCAAATCACAACCTCGAATCTTGTAGTTTGGAGGTATCCCATGGTAAATATTTCCAAACATCATCTCTAGTGGTGGTTCTGAGTCGCTCATCGCCCTTTCTACTTCTTTATCTACTTCAGTTCGAACCCTTTTTTCGATCTCCTACAAACGAATTAAAAAATAGAATACAGTAAACATAACGCCGATTAAAGGCTACTTCTGTTATAAAAAAATAAGAACTATTAAGTGGATTTTTACTTAGTCATCTATGGAACGTAAGTTGAAGACAAAGCAGGAGCCGACATACATCAATTGGCAAAGAGAGGAAGTTAATAAGATGGTAACCATAGAGGGTGAAATACTGATATAAAAAGTAGACGAGAACTAAATACAAAGACAATAATTTTAGAGTAATATGTGAAACCGTGGGATTGAAAAGTTCTGAATAACACTTAGCTTACATTTTCAGAGAAAAAGAACAACTGAATGCACAACTGCAACCGATTTTGAGGCATATTACTAAAGGTCAACAATCATCAATTACGACTAAACTGAAGATCCCAACTAAGGAATCTGCATCATCTTACACAATAGAAGCAAATGATCAACTACAATGCGGACCAGTGTAATTTCCTGGTTTACCTCCTAAAATCTCTTAACTTTTCTTCTTGATAGCCGTTAGAAAAATGTCATGTTCCAACCACCTTAGCTGATGAATGTTTGTATTAGCACGTTTACCACTTTTACCCAATATTACATAATAGGCGGATTCATCATATATAAGCAAGATATATTTTTCAAGACCGTGTTACAAGCATAAACTGCTAAGGAGAAAAACCACCCTTCTCAGACTAGAAGTTTAAAATGTCATTTAGCAAACAAGACTGTTACACTACTTTATAGTAATATCTGTAAATAGTGTATCCGATAGTAAGACATCCAGTATATCAAAAAACCTGTTTTTTGGTTGATCATATAATATTCGTGTTGTTCCGTTGTACTATTTAAACTTGGATTAATTTTAATTTGGTTATTTATTCTCTGAAGAAGTGGCTTACACTAAGTCACGAAACGTCAGAAAATCTAGTTTTTTTACTCATCGGGATATTATAAATATATTATTTATTTGTAACAATCTACACAGTGCTCAATTTATTCGAAATTATCAAATCAAACCTTGGTATTGATACCTTCAAAAATAATTGTCACTAGCTTCACAACGCAACTTACATCTGGTTATATCACCATGTACATGCCTAAGATTAATATTCGGTAAATGAAACTTACTTGCGAAACCAGTGCTAGTGGCATTTTTCAACATTTTGCTATATATTGACTACTGACAGAACTAGCTGACTAGGTAAAGTTGATAGACTAATTTGGAAGAACGCATTTGCAAGGACTCAAACAGAACAAATGACGCCAATAGTCGAGTCAAAAGTCCTACTCAGGAAAACTGCAAATATCACCTTCATTTACAACAATGTTCTAGTATGCTTATGTGATGTAATTCGATGCTCTTGAAGTATAAATGTTACATTTTTAACAAACAGAAAAGTACGAACTACCAAAACCAATGACATCACATACGATGTGCTCTAATCATAGCAATCATATTACATCACTGATCACTTAAATAATGTCATGTTCAATTTAATTTTAAGCAAAGATTTCTAAATAAAGGGCCTACATAACCTTGTATCAAGTAAAAAAATTTCAAAAATCTTAAGACCATATAAATTTGTAAATATTTGAGATGTTTTTCACAAAACTACTTTACCTTAACTTCATCCTGTGTACATAGCCCATTGTCCACAATGCTCTTCTGAAATAAAGCGATAGGATCTCGTCCACGCCTCATCGACTGAACTTCTTCACGTGTACGATAACTAGTGCCTGGGTCGCTCATACTATGACCATGGTAACGATAAGTCTCTGTTTCTAACAGTATTGGGCCTTTGTCAGAACGACACCAATCAGCAGCGAAACGTGTGGCTTCTCTAACACTAAGTATATCCATACCATCAACCTGGCAAACGAAAAAAAAAACAACTTGTAAGTAGATTAACTGTCTGATTAAATAGACCGAGAACACAAAATTGATAGTTTATCAAGTGTGTCGTGACATATCATATTATGAGTTCTTAGAAGTAGTTCTGCAGAGATGGATCTCAAATACTTTAACTGTGGAAACTTTATAGTATGAACAACTAGGCTATGTTAACAACATTAGTACCGTGAGAAGATTGAACTAAACGGAATGAAAACTTAAAATTAGTACTATAACAATAAAATACAAAAGAATGGAAATTACGTTATTGTTATACCTAAACAAAGAACAGATACTAGTATTAAATAAATAAAACAAACGACTGCGTAATCATTTCTTGGAAACAAATGAAGACGAACCCACAATCCAGGAATGTAATCTCCACGAGTATAGTAACTAGTATTTGCTGATGAACGCTGCACAGATGTACCCATACCATATTTATTGTTTTCACAAATAAAATCACAGGAAGATTCCATAACTTCGCTATATTAAAGGCTTCAAACACCTGTCCCTGGTTAGCCGCACCATCTCCATAAAGAGTTACAGAGACAAACTTTTCCCCACGATGTTTCATACGTAATGCTATTCCGACACCTAAAGGAACCTAGAAGGCAGAAAGAGAATACAAATATACGTTGCTAATTGATAATAACTACAAGAAAACTTCGAAATAATAGATAAACCTAGTAGCTATGATACTGTAACCACAAAATGTTGAGAAATTCTTATGACCAGACTTGGTACTCAAAACCAAATGACTCTATCCATAAAATACGTTTTACATACATGACTACCAGGATGAGGTCACAAAATTAAGGAAGACAGAAATGAACTATCGGTGGAAAAGTTTCGTTAACTATGAAGTACACGAAAAGAACTCAGGTGACAGACTAAACAATCTCCAGGCAGTGAGTCACTAGCACCTAGGAAGGTGTGCTTCTGATGGAAGCACAACTAGACATCCCGAAAAGTCTAAGCTTCAGAGAAACTTTTGAAGTGACTATCCAACAAATATCTTAGCTTAAGAAACTTAGTCATCATACTGACCTGGTTTTTTTAGTTTCTTTACATACACATTACTGGTGACAAGATAAGTTTACCTAATAAGATTTTTGTTACGGACTTAGTAGTGGTCGAAATAAATTTCCGTTTGCAATGGGGCCTGTCAAACACAAATCATAAAACAATATCAATATGGTGTATAAACTAACTTTACTGGGAAGATATATATATATAACTCAGATTCCTTATCTATTTACATAAACATTGGTGCAAGAAGGCATCAAATACATATGCGACACATAAATCATTCGATGTGTAAGAGTTGGAATACTGCCGGGGTACCTGATCTGACTTCTAAAGAAGGATTGGTGCAAGGTTTCGTCAGTTAAAGTGTAACCTAAATTTATAAGCTATTGCCTTAGTTTAAACAACTGTGTACCCGTGATGTAAAGAAAAGTTTACTGTCATTATATCAAGCAATGAGTTAGGAAACAGTTTAATTCCTAATACTGATAATAATTGATGCAATCAATATACAAAGACAACAAGAAGTAGCACACATGCATAGCGTAAAACATTTATTCTGAAAATAAGGGTTGAGATGTATGATAATGACTGGAGATTAGACGGTCACATACATCAAACATAAAAAGATATATGAAGAATCTCTAATTGAAATCATAAAGTCAAAGTATTGTACGGAAAACAAACAAATATACCTGAGCTCCAACGATGCCATTACCACCATAGAAATCTTTTGCGTAAAGATGCATACTGCCCCCTAACCCTTTTGTGCATCCAGTCCTCCTTCCTGCGAGTTCTGCAACTATATTGTGTACAGGAACACCACGAGTCATTGTAAAGCCATGGCAGCGATAAGCAGTGATAATTGTATCGCCTGGCTGTAAAGCAGCCTCAATACCAACTGCAACTGCTTCCTAAAGATTAAGTGAGAAAACTAGAAATAACTACTTGCCAAAAGAAAGCCTGAAACAAATAAGAGCCTTTATATTTCTAAGCAAAAGAAAAAAGTTCACATTCTCAATTCACAAGTTTGTATGCTGAGGTTTGAGTGATAACGGTCATACCTATAAGCTTCCCTTCGAGTTCACTTGATGGAGCACACCTGTTTAGGTCATATAAGTGTATATCTTACCTATAAATTAAACATTTGAAGAGATGAATTACCACTGCCCAGTATGCATCAATTCACCTAAAAGACTATTTAATTATACTGCACAAGATGTTTTTACAAATTAATGATGTATGTACGGACAAAAATAGATATATTAGAGTAAATCCCATAGTAGAAGAAATCACCCCCAGTAAGTCTGTGTAATGTGTAAGTTTGTTTCGAGTTTGCGGATAATCTTTTAACGCATGATTACTGACAAACTCCATTCTTCGAAAAAGTCATTTTGCAGAGTAAAACAGTAACATAATATTCTGAAGAAACCTTTATCTTTTAGTGCAGTATATTTCCAATGTCAGTGAAAAGTACGTTTACATCACATATATTAACTTTAAGTTTAAAATGACTGATTGAGCTTTAAATACACACAAGTGAATGGAGTCAGGTGACCGTGTATCAGTCATGAAGAATATCCAACCTGGGTAAACTTGAAATGGACTAGAATGATGTAGGTTAAGAAAGGACTAAGTGAAAAAATTCTCTGAAATCAATAAAAAATTTTAATACATCTGTTTGAGTCGATGGAGCTACCCTAATCACTTGATGAATACCACACTTAACGTTAAATTTTGGAGAAATTATACTTTTACCATAACTATTCTGTTGCCTGCTCTTTTCAACATCAATAGAGACGTTTGGTTTTTAATGCCTCAACTTCTTTCTACGAACTAATTCTTTCTTCCTGTACTATATCCTTATTGCAATCTTTCTTTTATATATTACCACCTCTGAATTAACTACTTTTATGAATCCGGTGTCCATCTTGTTGTGTTAATGAGGCATGGCAACTTGGACCGATGCATATATGTGCCTGGCCCTACGTTGTAGCTGACTGACTGACTGACTAAGTAATTTCGTTACATAAAACCCTACATCTTCAATTTGGAAATCACTCAGACGTAATAAGGAATTCGAGGAAGGAAAGAACACTAAAAATATAATTGAAAACTGTAAACGTATGTGGAAATTTGATGCGCACAATATTAAGGTTAGAAATCACCTTGCAATCAAAAGAGATAGCAGTAGGTATGTGTATGAACAACCACTTCTTTGTTTTTGAAAATATTCTATAAGCACGATAAGAATCACAGCAATAACACGACTAATGATTGAGCTGTAAGTTACGAAAGATCTACCCAATCACAAAGATTTAAAAAGGCTATTCACAGCAGCCTTTCGAAGACCCCATCGTAAAGAAGTGATAAATACCGACACATTTATTTCACTCTGTATGTACAAGGAATGAAGAACACGTCTGAAACGTTAAGGTGTCTCACCAAGGAAGCCATGAAGTATGTAAATCCATTCAAAGAATAATAACAGGAACCAAGGAGCAGAAACCTTGAGGTACGTTTAAATTAAAACTAACCTGACCCGAGTATAGATGACAGAAACCGCGAATGAGCTTTTCTTTATACATGTTACCTAGTGCCGTTTCCATTCTACGAATACGGTGGAGACTCTCGAGGTATCTAAGTGCATCATCACGACTGCATTCAGTTTCATTTGCTGGCGTGGAATCTAACTTAAAAGACTTGTAATCAGAAAGACTAAATTTTGCGGAGGAACACTCAGAACGATAAATGAGTGACACAGGGTTCCATTGGCACCTGAAAGCGAAATTCTTAGACCGTACAGGTAGATAAGTGAATATAACTTACCATCAGCTTTGACCTAGCAATACCCGATGCCATTTTATGATGTGAATCTAGTGTTTAATGTTTGACGAAAGCCTGATATTCACCCCAAACAAATCCTGGAAAGTAGATTAAGGGACGAAATTTAGACAGAAATGAAATGTTAACGTTCAGAGCCTTTATATAAAACAAAAACCAAACTAACAATAGAAACCAAAATGACGTCTCACAACCTTGAGGATGAATAAAGCGCTAGAAACATGGATGGTTTTTCAAATGGGTCAAATGGTTCAAATGGTTGTGGACGGAATAGAAGAAGCTTTCGCTTAACAGGCTTCCGTGTCTAGTAGCAGGGGATCACCAAATCCTCCAGGCAGGAACCTAGGTATGTTAACAATAAAAGAGGAAAAGAAATTGGTAAATCATAGTGTGATGCTGTCCTTGGTCCTTAAGAATAGGTCAAGTTGCCTCTTGAAGGACTCCTGAGAAGTCGCTTGGACTAGCTCGGCTGGCAGCGAATTCCAGCTTTTGACAACTCTTAAGGAGTAGAAGTTGTGTCTACATTCCGTCTTGCTATGTTGTGTTTCCAGTTTCTGGGTGTTACCCCTTAGGTTATTATTCGAACTAAGCTTAAGTAGGTGTTTAAGAGGATGTCCAGAAGTGTTAAGAATACTATAAGCCATTAATAAATCACCTCTAAGACGCCTATATTCTAATGGGTAAAGGTCTAGTGAACGGAGGCGTTCTTCGTAAGGCTTAGATTTGAGTCCTCGAACTGATTTCGTGGCTCGCCGTTGGATACGCTCCAAAGTGACCTTGTCCTTTTGGAGTGAGGGGGGAGTACTATGTTTCCGTACTCTAAATGGGGACGGATGAAACTATTGAAGATTGTGTGGAAAGTTCTTCCGTCAAACTGGCCAAAAATGCGCTCAACGTTACCAGTGCAAGGTTTGCTCGGAAGGCATTTTTGTCACAGCGTAAGACTTTAAATCATGGGGCACCAGGACTCCTAAATCTTTTTCGACTTGGGATACTACTAGAGAGGAGTTTCCTAAGTTGTAACTGTAGTTTGCAACATGTCGCAGATGGACTACTTTACACTTTGAAGTGTTAAAGGTAAGTCCGTTATCGTCTGCCCAACTTTGAAGTCGAGTCAGATCCTCCTGAAGTGCCTGTATATCGTCTTGGTTGCGTATCTCTCTCCAAAGTTTCACGTCGTCGGCAAAAAGTAATAAGTCTGACGTTACCTGTTGAGGAAGATCATTTATGTAGATCAAGAAGAGAAGAGGCCCTAGTACTGAGCCCTGGGGGACCCCACTAGGACATTCCATAGCCTGAGATAAAGTGAAATTAACCCTAACCTTAAAGTGTCGATTTTTTAGGTATGAAGTAAGCCAATCGATTAGGGTGGTTTGATACCTAGTCGTTTGAGCTTGTTGATAAGACACAAGTGGTTAACCTTATCAAAAGCTTTTGAGAAATCAAGGTAAATGACATCAACCTTTCCCTTGCAATCGAGGATGCTTGTCCATCTGTCCACCGCAGTCAGCAGGTTGGTTATACAAGAGTAACCCTTCCTGAAACCATGCTGTTGGGGTGAGAAGAAATTTAAGGACAGTAGATAGTCATTTAAACCGTCGCATATCAGGGACTCCATGAGTTTTGAAGGTAATGACAGAAGAGCCACCGGCCGATAACTTGAAGGTTCATTGCGTCGACCACCTTTGAAAATTGGTGTGATGTGAGCCAACTTCCAATTTTCCGGTAATTTGCCTCGGCTAAGCGAGTGTGAAAACATCACGCTAAGCGGCGTTGCCAGGATTGAGGCTGCCTCCCTCAGTATGGCAGGATGAACCATATCCGGGCCAGGAGAAGTGTCTAATCTTAAGTGCTGCAATTTCCGGAACACCAAGTCAGCGCTTAGGTCCACTTCGGAAAGTCCTGTGGAATTGCAGATGAAACTGTCGTCAGTAAAGTTGATGTCAGCCGGTTGAAATGTTTGAGAGTAATGTGCCGCCAGAAGGTTAGCGGCGTCGCCATCGTTGTTGGTCGGGCCGTTAAGACCTACCAGTTGAGAAACTCCTGTTTTGGCTTGACGAAGAGAGGCTGCATAACGGAATAGGCTTCTAGGGTTAGAGGCGAATTTGTCCATAAGCTTTGTTTGGTACTGAAGCCTGTCTTCTCTTATAGCCTTCGTGCATATGTTCCTGATATGTTTATATTGCCTATACGCTCCATCGTTATTAGTTCGTTTGTATTCCGCCCAACAGTGCCTTTTGCGGCTTAGCAGGCGAAGGGTACGGTTCTTGATTACTGTAGGTGGCTTGCAGCTTTTGGGAACCGTTTGAGGAACTGAATGGTTGTAGCACATAAGAGCGTGTGCAGTAAGAAGTCCCAATGACCATCCACATCGAGTTGAGGGTGAACATCCCAAACCACCTGTTGTAGATAGTCATGTAGAGCTGGCACATTCAGCCGTTTAAAATTCCAACGCAAATTATTGTTGGGATACCTTAGCTTAGTTTTGATGACAAAACTGAAGGCTATGACGGCATGATCGCTCTTTCCCAGAGGAGCCAGGATTGAGAGGTTGTCGACTAGGAATTCTTCGTTAGTGAATACACAGTCTAAGCGCGATGGTGTCTGACTGTTTCTCCAACGAGTTGCCGACCTCACATTTTCATATAAGCCCAAGTTATCGATGAGGTTGTAGAACCGAGCTTCAATTGAGTTGTCGCCTCCAGTGTACGTGTGTTCCGCGAAGTTGACTCTAGGGAGATTAAAGTCCCCTAGAATCAGGATGTGTGTGAAACCGAGACGGATAGAGCGGGATAGTCCTTCCAGCATACGACTATCGTACTCGATGTCGGCAGTTGGCTTCCTGTAAATGACTCCGACTAGACACCTCGAAGTACTAGACAATCTTACAGAGCACCATATGGATTCCTTAAGATTGTTTTTGTTGTCCTTAAAATCATTTTAAAGCAACACCATTCATACCTTATATTCAAGCAGAAATAACCAAAGACTTGTTTGGACACCTTTGTTAAGGTGGGTTTAAATAGAGGGAATTTTTCACATTCAACTTGCATCTACAGTCTTCGGTAATAAGAGTAGTATGTTGGTGGGCCTGTATTAATTCTTACAGTTTTTTTAATAAATATCCAGCTTCTCTTGAAAATGTTCAATTAAGAGGCCTATACCACTTGTTTGGGTATGATATGCTAGTCACTGACCACTCGATGAGGAAGACGGAATACAAATCTGAGTTTATGACCTCGAAGTTTAATAATGCTGAAAGGAGAAAGAAGATGAAATATATTAACACCCAAATCGTAATTAAAAATACTGAACGCTAAAATAAGGTCTTCTCATGCTCTACGATACGATGAGGGAGAAAGGTTTAGGCGTTTTAAGCGCTGATCTTAAGGGAGTTTAGAAATGCCTTTCACTAATACTGTCCCAAACGCTGAATACGTTCAATTGAGTAATTATCATTGATAAGATATTGACCAGCTGCTTGGATAGAGTAGTCTTAGCGTGGTCTTACGTAGGTAGTAAATAAAATTTGAAAATCTCGTCAAACCATTTGAATGCTCGGCAATGTTTTTGACAGCGCGCCTTTCGAACAGGACGTTTAGTCCCAACGTGATTTGCATTTATCAAACTTTTGCTGTGTTCCTACGCATCAGAAGTACCATTTCTGATCGAAATAATCTATTCTGTGCTATACGTTCGATAGATTACTTTTTTTCGAGTTTCACTCAATGTAATAGTTAACTGTGGTATTGCCTCAGCTTACTACTCGGTCTTTTTTCAGTTTTTTACGTAAAGGCTACTTCAGTTTATCTCATCCATTTTTAACCATTTTCGCCCGTTTTTGGTGTACCTTTTGTGTATTTTTAACGGTCTTATGCTTTTGCTAGCATCTATAATACAGTTTACGTCAATACAGTCATGAAAAATTCATTCAAACGACCTGTTAAATCTGGTGTGCAGTGCGACAACTGAAAATATTGGTTCCATGAAGCGTGCACAGATCTCATAGCAACTGCTTACAACAAAGTCAGCGAGTAGGATCATAATTGGGTATGTGTTACGTGAAACACGGATGTTGTAGTCTTACTGAGTAACATCATTGTCCTATTGACAGGTCTGCGAAATAGGTTGTCAGTAAACTTGGAAAAAGACAGTCATAAAATGAGTAGGCAAACAAGGGCACGCAACGAAAACAAGAATAGGGATGTCGACAGGTCTACTATCGATGGAGAATGCATTAACACTAGTGATGACATGCTGAAACTCAGCACTGTCATAACGTCGACGGTAATATCACTATTATTATTAATAGCTTTATTCAATGTTATATTTTGGTACAATACAGAAGTCTCAGCTCAGGCTATTTCAACGAGTTTCTTATACAAAAAACAGAAACAAGGACAAAAAGGGAAAAAAGGTCGAAAAAATCTGAACAACTGTACAACTTTTCAAATTAGAGGCATATTAAGAATGCAGGTTATTGACTAGGTTGACTCTAACAACCTGTTCGTCACAGAGTATATTTGCTAGGTAAGATATTACAGATCTTGTATACTTTTGCTTTTGTGCATGGATTTTAATGTAATTACGTCTCGTTATGCCGGAAGATATACAAGGAGAAAGATAAGAGTGAAGGCGGCTGCAACTCTGGAAGCACTTCGTACCAACAGAAGTCGGTTGCAAACTGGAGTCAGTGTGCACCCGCATAGGCCACATGACGCCAGGATCAAGCGCAAAGGCAAGC